CCCAAATATCCCCATACTCACGCGTTTTTTTTCTTCTTACTTCGAACTTGCATTCATGTAGTGACCTTGTACTTGCTTGTAATGTGTTTTCAATTAAGCAATATTTATTTCAATGTTTAACACGTGTTTATTGAGACTGTACAAAGGGCAAAACATCGTTACTTAACGAGAGTAAAAAATGTGTATTGAAATAAAACGGTGATTTTTTTTATATGAGAAATTGTTGTCCATGGTGGTAATGAAGTGTGTATGCAAACAGATTGCAAAAAATGTGAAAACTGTGGTCGATACAGTCTGTTAACTATGGCCTATTTTTGCAAAAATGTCTGGCAGGATAGCATGCTCAGATGCTGGCTACTGGAGTGCATTGAATCATGACCGTTTTTCAACGACTTAACCTGATAGCGTGAAACTCCCCTGACCGGAAAAGGGTTAACCCTTTGAGTGCCAGATAATTTTTTCACTCAAAATTTATTGCAAATATTTTCACTTTTTGTAGAATTGTCACTAAATTTCATCATCGTTTTGGATCATACAGACAAGTTCAGATATTGCTTGTAGCTTTTGATCAAAAGGTTTCATAATTTTGTAGATGATGGGCAAAAGTTCAAAATGGTGCTCAAAGGATTAGGTGTGTGTGTCACATTGTGATCATTCCTGTCATTAATTTATTCAGTAATGAATTATGAAGAGTGGGATTTTATTTCTACACAGATATTGATATTGACATTGATGCCTTGAATGATGAGCAGACTGAAGAATTAAACATAACAGGTGTTAGTTATGGGATGAATGCTTCAGAATATATCAGGTAGATATTGCACAGTCTGTGTCTTGGTTTATCCACTGTAAATTCTCTAATTTAGATGTTATTTTTCAAACATTTCAATCTTCCCTAGTACCTAAATTAGTCCAATTTTAGTTTTTTGTGGTCACTGTTCAAGTGTACAATGTTTATCATGGCTAGTGTGAATGGGTAAACTTCAGTTAACATTTAGGTGTTATCTTTGTAAAAAGTGTTATATTTTTTTCAATGCTCAGTTTATTTGTCAGAAATAACTAATTTCTTGATTAAAAAAAAAATCATGCTGTTTTCCTACTGAAATCCAAAAGAACAGACTACAGCATTGTTAAATCCCTTTCGTGTTGAATTCGCCATTAGGTTGCTGAACTGATTTACATATAACATATTTAAATAATCTATGGTAATAGGGGATTTTCCGTACAATTGCGAGATTTCATGAGATGCATGAAAGACGCGCGTCGAACGTCTGCCGCAAAAATCAAACGATTTGATTTTGAACTAGAATTTCTTTCTTTCGTAGCTCACATCGACCGACCGATCTTCAACAAAGGAATATTGCTTTTGAATACCCTTACTTAATCGAAATTGCCTATCATCAAATGTGGACAGCACATTATTAAGCATGGAAATGTCCCAGAAAATACTTTCGCGTTTGTCGAATCCCACGCGATGTTTGACGCCACTACGACATTTGTTTGTTTTGTTTTTACGTTCGATTTCACGCATAACGCGTGATTCTCGCAGTGAACAGAAAATGGTCACGTTGCCACCATCTAGAATTCTGATTGATTAATAATGCGATTGAAAGCATTTGCTTATGTTGAATCTAAGTTGAATTTCACAGTCCAACAAATTTAATTTTTGTACGTTATTATAATCACTTCTGAATAATAAATCAACAATTGCAACACTTCGAAAACAAGTAAGTTATTCACTTGTGAAACGCAGCCTGACCAGATCATTCACTACTACTAAGCAATTCATTCGTGTTTGTTTTTATTCAAAACTTCTTTTAGACTATACTTTTCATTACCAACAAAATTAAAAATAATGCATTTTTTTGTTAGCTCTGCTGTCGACTTTATGAGTGATTGTCCGTTGTCGTCCGTGTCCATGTTTTACGTTTTTGACTTCTTCTTGAAAACTACAAGTCTGAATGTTTTGATACTTGGTGTATATGTACCTTGGGTAGGCCTCTCTAAGATTTGTTCATTTTGTGATGATATTTTTAATTCTCTAATTTTGGTGAATATTTTTGTCATTTTTGGTAAAAAGTGATATTTTCGACTTCTTGTTAAAACCACAAGTCTGATTGCTTTGATATTACATATATAGGTACTACATGTGGACCTCTCTCAGATTTGCTCATTTCATGATGATATCTTTAATTCTCTAATTTTGATGAATATTTTTATCATTTTGGGTAAAAAGCGATATTTTCGACTTCTTGTTAAAAACCGCAAGTCTGATTGCTTTGATATTACATATATAGGTACTACATGTGGACCTCTCTCAGATTTGCTCATTTCATGATGATATCTTTAATTCTCTAATTTTGATGAATATTATTATCATTTTTGGTAAAAAGTGATATTTTCAACTTCTTGTTAAAAACCGCAAGTCCAATTGCTTTGATATTACATATATAGGTACTACATGTGTACATCTCTCAGATTTGTTCATTTTGTGAGATATCTTTAATTCTCTAATTTTGATGAATATTTTTGTCATTTTTGGTGAAAAGTGATATTTTCGAATTCTTGTTGAAAACAGCAAGTCTGATTGCTTTGATACTATACATATTGTTCATTTTCTAATGATGTCTTCTGTTCTTTAATTGTAATGTGCATTGCTAACAGCGGAGCTATCTCAGCCGACAGGCTGCTTGTTATCTTATGGAATTACAAATATTTCTTATGTTTGACTGTACTTTTTCAACAGTTTGTGACTTCTGTTTTAGAACCACAATAAGGCTTTTTACTCCCCTCCGACACCTAAATTAGAGGGACGTCTAAATTAGTGATTTTATGGTACACCAATTCGAAATAAATGCTTGACTGCATGCAGCATACCTTGATTGGCTTACCTTGAATATTACAACGTTGATAATGTGTATGATCTTTGTTCCAGGCAACTGAGGAAAGACAAGGAGGAGTTAGAAGCTTTGAAAAGAGCAAGAGAAGAGGAGGAAGAGCGAGCAATGTATTCTGTTAGTACATGTGTGATTGTATCTTATTAGTTACTTCAGTTGTCAGGCTTTCCTGTACACATTTGCTTAGAATATTTGTCATGATATAGTATATGTTATGTTAAGGATTATATTTTGACTGTTTGTTTCAAAACAGGGTAGAAAATCTAGACGTGAAAGAAGAGCTCTGATTGAGAAGAGATTGAAAGGTAGAAAGATCAGCCCTCCAAGGTGAGTCTTAACAGTGTGTTAATAAATTAATAATTGAATTCTTGCTGAAATCTAGTACCTTGGCATATAGTGTGTGTGGAGATATTGTGCTTACCAGTGTCTGACCGCTCGTCCTTTGGTTCGTCCCTCCGACCATCCATCCATCAAGTTTTAACAGGAGCACTATTGGAGATAGAGACATTCAGACAGTGCTATATTGAAGACATTGTATACTAGATCTGGTCAACCTATTTAATACAGGGGTTGCATTAGTGTTCGATAATGTGGAGTCCCTGGGACCCACCCCTTATAAAATGTGTGGGTCCCTTAAAAATATGTGGGGTCCCTGCCGCTACCGCACTTTATTTTTCCAAAATAG